ATATATACTGTATGTACAATGTACAATATATAGTATAATATATAGTACTATATTAAAGAATATGTAATAGAATCTTTGTTTATTTTTGGCATTTTATTGTCTTTATTGCAATAGGATAGTATGTAGACAGGAAAGTGGGAGGGAGAGAGAGGGGGCGGGATCAGGAAAGGTCCACGAGCCGGGACACAAACTCGGAACGCCCCAAGCACAACAGTGATATATGTCGGTGCACTGCCCACGAGGCTATCAGCGCTGTCAATATATTCTTTTTAATTAAATTTCTTTAAAGACTGACTGCAAACTTTTGAACAGTACTGTAGTGCTTTTTGGATTGTTATTGGTTAAAGGGTTAGTTCACCCAAAATTTTAAGTTCTGTCATTAATTACTCACCCTCATGTTGTTCCAAACCCGTAAGACCTTCGTTCATCTTCGGAACACAAATTAAGATATTTTTGATGAAATCCGAGAGCTTTCTGACCCTCCGTAGACAGCAATGCAACTACCACATTCACCGCCCAGAAAGGTAGCAAGGACATCGTTAAAATAGTCCATGTGAGATCTGTGGTTCAACCTTAATTTTATGAAGCTAAGAGAATACTTTTTGTGTGCAAAGAAACAAAAATAACGACTTTATTCAACCATTCTTCTCTTCCGTGTCAGGTCACAAGAGTACCACGACGTGCAGTTCCTGCATGTGGTGCTGCTGATGCAGGAACTGGTGTTCTGACGTAGAAACCGGATGCATTGTGGCTTGTTTGCAAAGAGAAGAATGCACACGCATGCGTCTTAGTACTGTCATGAACGTGCATCGGATTCTGACATGGAAGAGAAGAAATTGTTGAATAAAGTCATTATTTTTGTTTTCTCTGTGCACAAAAAGTGGACGTCTATGCAGGATCAGAAAGCTCTCGGATTTCATCAAAAATATCTTAATTTGTATTTCGAAGATGAACAAAGGTCTTGCAGGTTTGGAATGACATGAGGGTGAATAATTAATGACAGAATTTCATTTTTGGGTGTACTATCCCTTCAAAGTAAGAAATTTTTAATGATGTCACCGACCACATTGTTGATTGAACCTGTCTTTCATTTTTACTCATGCTCGATCTTTGAATGTTCTTGCATTTATTGCTGGCTGTTGTTGTGTGTAGTCAGGTTAGGCCAGATCTCTCCTCAAGACAAATACAGCTTACAGACAAACAAGCTGCTCCAGGCCATAATAGAAGCTGCAAGTCAAATAACACGGTGCTCAAGTATCTAATCAGGCTTTGCATGGGTCTTGATTGGTCTCACAATTCAGGGTTATTTTACTTTGTGCACTTTCTATCCCTTCGTTTTTTTTTCTACTGTTGACTGCAACAGCCATATACTATCCGTGATGGTGTTACTAGCTGGTGTTTGATTCAATTGCAGAACAATACTGATGCAAACACTATATATACTGTATGTACAATGTACAATATATAGTATAATATATAGTACTATATTAAAGAATATGTAATAGAATCTTTGTTTATTTTTGGCATTTTATTGTCTTTATTGCAATAGGATAGTATGTAGACAGGAAAGTGGGAGGGAGAGAGAGGGGGCGGGATCAGGAAAGGTCCACGAGCCGGGACACAAACTCGGAACGCCCCAAGCACAACAGTGATATATGTCGGTGCACTGCCCACGAGGCTATCAGCGCTGTCAATATATTCTTTTTAATTAAATTTCTTTAAAGACTGACTGCAAACTTTTGAACAGTACTGTAGTGCTTTTTGGATTGTTATTGGTTAAAGGGTTAGTTCACCCAAAATTTTAAGTTCTGTCATTAATTACTCACCCTCATGTTGTTCCAAACCCGTAAGACCTTCGTTCATCTTCGGAACACAAATTAAGATATTTTTGATGAAATCCGAGAGCTTTCTGACCCTCCGTAGACAGCAATGCAACTACCACATTCACCGCCCAGAAAGGTAGCAAGGACATCGTTAAAATAGTCCATGTGAGATCTGTGGTTCAACCTTAATTTTATGAAGCTAAGAGAATACTTTTTGTGTGCAAAGAAACAAAAATAACGACTTTATTCAACCATTCTTCTCTTCCGTGTCAGGTCACAAGAGTACCACGACGTGCAGTTCCTGCATGTGGTGCTGCTGATGCAGGAACTGGTGTTCTGACGTAGAAACCGGATGCATTGTGGCTTGTTTGCAAAGAGAAGAATGCACACGCATGCGTCTTAGTACTGTCATGAACGTGCATCGGATTCTGACATGGAAGAGAAGAAATTGTTGAATAAAGTCATTATTTTTGTTTTCTCTGTGCACAAAAAGTGGACGTCTATGCAGGATCAGAAAGCTCTCGGATTTCATCAAAAATATCTTAATTTGTATTTCGAAGATGAACAAAGGTCTTGCAGGTTTGGAATGACATGAGGGTGAATAATTAATGACAGAATTTCATTTTTGGGTGTACTATCCCTTCAAAGTAAGAAATTTTTAATGATGTCACCGACCACATTGTTGATTGAACCTGTCTTTCATTTTTACTCATGCTCGATCTTTGAATGTTCTTGCATTTATTGCTGGCTGTTGTTGTGTGTAGTCAGGTTAGGCCAGATCTCTCCTCAAGACAAATACAGCTTACAGACAAACAAGCTGCTCCAGGCCATAATAGAAGCTGCAAGTCAAATAACACGGTGCTCAAGTATCTAATCAGGCTTTGCATGGGTCTTGATTGGTCTCACAATTCAGGGTTATTTTACTTTGTGCACTTTCTATCCCTTCGTTTTTTTTTCTACTGTTGACTGCAACAGCCATATACTATCCGTGATGGTGTTACTAGCTGGTGTTTGATTCAATTGCAGAACAATACTGATGCAAACACTTCAATGACTATTATTTGTTCCTTTTTTATAAGACAGCAAGCTGAAAGTCACAGCATCAGGAGAAGCACCGTGGGCTAAGAGAGCACTTCCAGCCTGTGACCCACTTGTTTAATGAAACATGGGTCTTTTCAAACAGCACTCCATTTTGAACAAACATAATACTGGCCTAGTTCTTCAGCTAACTGTCTGATACTCAGCAAAAACAAATCTCTGATTAGCCGATGTGCAAAATGCCTCTGCAGTCACAATGGAAATGCCAAGTGAATTTGTCTCATTGTCTCTAGCAGGACGTTCATCCGACCGAACCTCGGCACAGCGTCAAACATCTGCTGCTCTGAGTGAGGCCTTTGACTCGATATTAGACGTTCACTGTTGAGCCCTATCCTGTAGCATGGAGTTGTCTCACTAAACACTGTCTGTCGAGCACAGCGAGGGAGTATTAAGCCAAAGCTGTTTGACTGTTTTCCTGCCAGATTAGTCCACCAGTCTCCTGT